GCTAGGGCTGTTGTGAGCTGAGGGGGCGCTCCTCAAGTGGCGGTCGAGGGGCATTTACAGAGACGCCTCTGCACCCCTGGCAAAAAAAGTGTTCTGCGACCGCTTACTTCGCGTAATGGATGAGCCGCCCCTGCAACCGATTCAACAATGCCAAATTTGGAGCCAATAATCTCCATTGTTTTTAGGAAGTAAGAGAAACAAGTTGATATACTCTCCCAGTCCTATCCATCAGAACTTAAAATATTTCAGACTTACCCCCAAATTCTGCCCGAGAAGTCTGTGACTGCAGAGACTGCTGGTGTATGTCTTTAGGTGTGATCTCGGGTCTTTTTATATAGTCTCCCTGCCTCTTTCTGTAAATAGTATTCTTGCCTCAGGCAATCGCAACCAATATTGCTGATTCCGGTTGATGAGCAAAGGTGGACTGGATGGGCCCCGCCCAAGGTAAAAGATATATTAGGAAATATTAGATTGGCTTTTGCAATGCAACACCTCGCGTATTGCAAGGTCCCATTCTGTTCTGCATAATGCAATTAATTGCCCTTGACAAAGATTCCCCATAGCAACAGACACACACGTTGACCAACTTTTGAGATATGCAAAAGGGCCTCTAATTAGACACTCCTTTTGAGGACAGATCATGGTGAATGGTTTCAAAAACATGCAGAATAAAGACATGTTTTGATGCATTTCTTTTTTCCATGGCCAAGTGGGGATTGGAACTGTGGTTTCCAGGACGTAGTACAACGTTCAAACCACTACGCCATGCTAAACATTAAAATGAACTTCTTGTCAATCTATATCTATATATATAAAACTAGCCGTACCCTGCCACACATTGCTGTGGCCCACATAGGGGTTCTGTGGCCCAATTCTATTGTTGGTGGGGTTCAGAATGCTCTGTGATTGTAATTGAACTATAAATCCCAGCAACTACAACTCCCAAATGTCAAGATTCTATTTTCCCCAAACTCTACCAATGTTCACATTTGGGTATATTGAGTATTCGTGTAGAGTTTGGTCCAGATCCATCATTGTTTGAGTCCACAGTGATCTCTGGATGTAGGTGAACTACAACTCCAAAACCAAGGACACTGCTCACCAAACCCTTCCAGTATTTTCTGTTGGTCATGGGAGAACTGTGTGCCAAGTTTGGTTCAGTTCCATCATTGGTGGGGTTCAGAATGTTCTTTGATTGTAGGCGAACTATAAATCCCAGCAACTACAACTCCCAAATGACAAAATTGATCTTTTTTAGTGAAAGACATACATTGGGTTGTTAGGTGTCTTGTGTCCAAATTTGGTGTCAATTCGTCCAGTGGTTTTTGAGTTCTGTTAATCCCACAAACGAACATTACATTTATATTTATATAGATAAAAGAGAATGTTTGTATGTGGGTATGTATGTGGCAGCTTTTCTGATTGGTTGCCACTATCACAGACTACTGCGACCAGCATGGGTGGCGGACCTGGACCAAACTTGGCACATATAACCCCCATGACCCCCTTTACGTCCTGGTGAGGTTTGGGGTAGGACGGACAAAGGATGATGGGATTTGTAGTACTTTCAAACCCTTCAGTTCCCACAGACCACTGTGCCCCCAACAAAGACCAATAAAGATCAACCTTGGCACACAGAGCCCCAACGACCCACTCTACATCCTGGTGCAGTTTCGAGGAGGATGGACCATGGATGATGGGACTTGAAGTACCTTCACTCACTTCCCAGGACTGCTGCAACCCTCATGCAATGACTGATCAAGACCAAACTTGGCACACAGAGCCTCAATGTGATCCACACCAATTACTGATTGTGATCCACACCAATTACTGATAAAGGCCAACCTTGACACACAATGTCTTTCTCAAATTACCCGGACACCAACAGGTCCCCAAGCTACAGTAGTATATAATAAAAGTGAATGTTTGTATGTGGTGGTGTATGTGGCAGCTTTCCGATTGGCTACCATTTTCACAGGCCACTGTGACCTGAACGAGCGACAGACCTGGACAAAACTTGGCACATATAACCCCCATGTTTTGGGGGAGGATGAACCACTTCTTGAGACCACTGTGATCCTCACCCAATGAACAATAAAGACAAAACTTGTCACACAGAACCCCTATGACCCACCTTACAACCAGGTGCTGATTGGAGGAGGATGGACCATGTATGATGGGACTCACAGTACCTTCACTCACTTCCTGAGACCACTTTGACCCTCATCCAATGACTGATCAAGACCAAACTTCGCACCCAGAGCCCCCATTATCCATTCTACATCTTGGTGCAGTTTGGAGGAAGATGAACCATAGATGATGGGACTTGCATATGGGAGCTATAGTCCACCTGCACCCAATGAACCAGGTGACATTGGATCTAGACTCAATTTGAAGCAAAGATAACCAATGCCTTTCTTAAATAACCCCGACACCGCCGGGTCCCCAAGCTAGTAGGAAATAATTGACAGTGGAACCTGTTACCTAGAACATTGGTGGACATCTCCAAAAGATAGGACAACTCCATGCTGGGGAAGATGTAATTGTATTTTCTGCATGAAGCAAGGGAGTGATGGGATATGGTGACCCCTCCGACTCCATGATAGGTCTGTAAAACTATTATTGCAAGTTTCCCCCACTATAATAAGTAAATGGAATTGAGAAACATGATGTTAGGTAGTTAGCTGATCCCTCGTAGCTCGAGGATGATGGTCTTCCAAGTGAAGTGTCTTATGATAGCAGGAAATCAAAGTCTCAATATTCTTCATGGGCTATGTTGTCAATGCATTTTTTTGGAATTTGTAGCCCAAAACATCAGGAGAAATTTTGATCTCCATGCTAACCCTTCAGTGGGATGAAATTGCAACATTCATGGGCATTTTGGGCTGTAGACCTTTCCAAGTTTACAATACTTGATGTTAATATCCTTGGGGTGCATTTACGTGGTCGAATGAATGTAGTTTGACACCACTTGGATCACCATGGCTTCTTGCTATGAAATTCTGGAAGTTGAAATATGGTGAGGTGCAGAGAAGGCTTGTCCTGGTTTGATGGACACCTTACCTGGGCATTTCTACACCTTGAAATTGGACATTTCTAAAGTTCTTTCCAACATGATGACATGAAGGCAACCTATCATGGGTTTCCTGGTTCTCAGAGTGTGGGACTCACTCAAAGCTACTCAATGGGTTCCCATGGCCAAACTGCAACATTTCAAACACAAAGAACAAGTTCTTAAAACTTGTTTCTACCAAGAAGAACATGAGTGAAGAGTTTCACACTTCTTGAGATGTTTAGTTGAGCCCTCAAAACCACAACTTGAATATGGAAGGAGACAATGCACCAAAAAGCTCAAGTTGGACATATTGTTTAATTATTTTTGTTGTCAACACAAAAGTCAAGTAGTAAACAGGTGACACAAAGAACACCAGTGTTACATCTCATTACCAGACAGAGAAGACATTTGATTCATCAGAAGGCAAAAGGGCATCCAGATATGTTTCTTAGAGCCATAGACAACCTAAAAAGCACATGGATCTCAATCTAACTACTGAAGGCACTTCTTTTGTCCTGGTCTTCTCTACTTCTGGTTCTGTGTAGGCCACTTAGTAGGTTGCTTAACCTGTTGCTGGTCTTGGCATAGAGGTGGGACAACCACCCCTGGGGTTTGCTGTTGGCATTGAGGTGGGACAACCACCCCTTGGCAGCTTGGGGCAGGCTTCACGTCACAACTTGGCTTCCTGGAACCGCAGCCAGGAGAACTTCCCCTGTTGTGGCAAGATCTCTCCTTCTCCTCGTGGCAAGAACTTCCACCCCGGTGGCATGATGGAGCCTCCTGTTGAGGTGGTTTATGGCAATCTCTATCCCGGCGGGAGCACATTGTGATTTCTGTCTGCTTGGAAAGGCTGGAAAGAACAAAGCAGAAATGTTCCTTCAAAGAAGGTCCAAAGCAAATATGACTTTCAAATGTGACTTTCTCATGACCTAGATCTCTTTCAGAACAATACAGATTCAGTTAACATTTTACCTTGACTCCAAATTTAGCAGAGGCGCATCCTTGGCCTACATGAAGCCAATGATGTTCATGACAGGTTGAACAGTGACAATGGCACACTACCCTGGCCAGTTTATCATATCCTCTTACTGGTTACCAGCTAGCATCACACTACGTTTCAACAACTCATGTGGCATTGGCAATCTATCTATTTATCTTGGCTTTTGGTAACTTCTTTCCACCTGCCTTTGTCACCCAACCATCCTGAAAATTGACATGTCGACCCATCACCATAACCAAGCACTTCACTCCATACATTCGTGGAAGTAGACTCAAGTCTATGGAAACATATCCTGCCAGCTTTGTGCTCGGTTCATCTCTAAGTTTCTACAAGACTTTCTTGGTCTTCCTATTTTATTTATGTGTCTAGAGTTGGTAAGAGTTGACTTTCACGTTCTAGGACCTACCAAGAGGCAGAACAGTAGTTATTGTTAGGTGCCTTAAAGTGCCTTCATGAAAAGTTCTGGGGCCTCCAGGATGACATATCTTCTCAGCTTCAGAAAAAAAGCATGGAAAACCTTCTCTGAAGGAACCTTGCTTGGTGTAACATACTTATGGTTGCCCTATCATAGCAAGGTTTCTTCAAAGAAGGTTTTCCATGCTTTCTTCTGAAGCTGAGAAGATATGACATCCTGGAGGTCCTGTAATATAATGGTTGCCCTCTCATAAGGTTTTCATAGAAAGGTTCCTTCAGAGAAGGGTTTCCATGCTTTCTTCTGAAGCTGAGAAGATATGACATCCTGGAGGGCCTGGAACTTTATGGTTGCCCTCTCGTATGGCTTTCACAGAAAGGTTTCTTCAGAAAAGGTTTCCCATGCTTTCTTTGGAAGCTGAGAAGATCTAACATCCTGAAGGGCCTGGAACTTCATGGTTGCCCTCTCATAAGGCTTTCATAGAAAGGTGCCTTCAGAGAAGGTTTTCCATGCTTTCTTCTGAAGCTGAGAAGATATGACATCTTGGAGGCTCCAGAACTTTATGGTTGCCCTCTCAAAAGGCTTTCATAGAAAAGTTTCTTCAGAGAAGGTTTTCCATGCTTTCTTCTGAAGCTGAGAAGATATGACATCCTGGAGGGCCTGGAACTTTTCATGCCTGAACAAAAATTGGAACCCTGGTCTCCTAAGACAACTACAACCTTGCATATGTTTGTATAGAATTAATTTCAAATTATATCTAACCTGAAAATTGAAGCTTTCCCATTAGCAATAGAAAATTTGCATATCTCTATATACAACACATTCTAAAAATATGTTCTATTCTTACTTTTACCAAAATCACTTCTAAGTATTTTCATCAGTCCTAAGCATGAAATAGAAATTCTTTGCAAACTTACCCGAAAAAGACCAATGTGTATCAGTCAAGAGCTCAGGTGTGTATCTATCAGAGTGAACAGTGAGGACTTTTATATGGTTTCCTTGCCTTCCTACTTCCATTGAGACTCACTTCTTGGGAAATAGTGAGCAAGACTGGGATTCCTTGTGAGGAATAGTTTCAGTGAGTGGACCTCACCCACTGGAAAAAAAGAATATGAGGAAACAATGGAACCACTTTGGCAATAAGGCATGACAAAGCAGGGACTGAATTGGCACTAGATAACACAACTGCCATTGCCAAAGATCTTGGGTGAATCTTACATTCTCCGGAAAACCATGATAGGTTTGCTTTACAGTAGCATTTCTCAACCTGGGGGTTGGGATGCTTGAGTTACATCCTCAGAGACTGCAGTTAATGTGGTGTCAAAGCCCGCGTGGATCAAAGCGACTTTG